TTCAGCGGCTCAGATGTCGGGAGTAAATGACGACTGCTATGTTCATTATTACATCCAACAACAGAACACCTCAATCGCTTGTTAGGAGTAATTCTTGTCTACATCTGCTCCGGCGGTGAAACAATGGCGGACTGATGACAGCTCACTCAGGGCGGGTCTGAGGTAAGATGCCAGTCCAGTCTGTACTGTCAATCAAACTATCGTGGGAGGGGCCTGTCTGTGTGACGTCACACAGACAGGCCCCTCCCACGATAGTTTGATTGACAGTACAGACTGGACTGGCATCTTACCTCAGACCCGCCCTGAGTGAGCTGTCATCAGTCCGCCATTGTTTCACCGCCGGAGCAGATGTAGACATGAATGACTCCTAAGCGATTGAGGTGTTCTGTTGTTGGATGTAATAATGAACATAGCAGTCGTCATTTACTCCCGACATCTGAGCCGCTGAACTCGCAGTGGATTACATTGTTTCTGAAGGGAATGCGCCCCCGATCTACATAAATGCGTCTATGTTTGCGCGAATCATTCGTGATCCAGTCTCATCTACAGAAGAAGTGAGTATGTTTTGTAATGAATCTTTGCAAATAGCCTTTCCTAATAATGTTCTAATTAGCAAATTCACAATGAAGGAGGCTAAAGTAAACAGTCCATCAGAGAGCGGCTCGGAAGAGAGGGGCGGGGTCAGCACAGCTCAATAACATTTAAAGGAAAATGCTACAAAACGGCTTGCTCTGAAAAGAGCTGTTTTTGACAGGGTAAAAAAGGTGTTTTTTACACTATCATTGAGAAATTTTAACCAAACTATGTTACAGACTTTTCATTAAGACCCTAAATAATCATATCAACTTATGGAAAATGGGCATCCTATGACCCCTTTAAAGTCTTGTTTAAAAAAACTTAAATGGTTTGGTCAGTTAGATGTTCTAGATGTTTGTTAAAATGTTGCTAGTTGGTTGCTAGGATATTCTGGGTGGTTGCTAGGCTCTTGCTATGCAGTTGCTGGGGTGTTGCTAGAGTATATGGTTGATAGAGTTTGTTCTGGGTGATTACAGACATTCCCACCTGTGTTAATAACAGAAAATCAAATAGTTTCAGTGCTTTGATATTATTGTATTTCTTTCTAATGTTAGGAAATTCAAATGTTTTTGTTGCTCTTAAACTTGCACTAAATGTGATTATACCAACTAAGTAGCCTATGTAATTTTAATAGAACCGCACGTCGTCTTTAGTGATACAAGCTCAGAAACATTTATAACCTGTTGAAGTTTTTTATATGGTGTATTGACTTCTTTATTGTGCCGTGATGGATATTGAAATGTTGTTATTTATTTTTCATTTTAAGATGATTACTTAATAGTAATACAATATTTGTGATCACAACTGTGTATGTCAGACCAAAACTATGCATGGGGGCTTGCTTTGGTGTTGCCACCCCTCATAGACTCCATGCCACCGTAAAAATTATTTTCTAGATCCGCCCCTGCAAACATTTTCAATTAAAAGAAAACCTTGAGATATAACATAATGTTGTTGTAGAACATTGTTGTGTATAATGCCTAATCATAAAAACCTGATTATTAAATAATAACGTGTTTCTCGTTAAACATAATTTAAATATATGAATATTCGAATATTTGTTTTTTTTAATGAGCCCAAATATTCAAATACAGTGTTTTTGAAAAATGCCCAACTCTAAAAAAACCACTGATTGTCATTTAATGCTAAAGATTTTTAAAGATCTTTGTTTTAGTGTGTAGTTTGCATTTTGGCAGCTGCTGCTAAAATTAGCACAGCAAAGCCACTGAGACCCTCATTGTGCTGGGCCGTTCCCTGGGCCTCCATAAATCCATGTGTTGTTTAGGCTGCAGCATTCAACTCAAGGGACACGATAAAACACAGCAGGGCTTGTCTGAGCATAAAGCCAAATAACGACCTTCTCATTCTCTTCACAGGCCTTGCGTGTTTCAACAGCACTTTAACTACGTCTTCTGTATACAATGACTCTCCCGAACCTCCTTGTCTCATTGTTTCTTTTTCTCCACTCAGGAATCCCTCTGCTCTGTTTCCTGGTGCTGCTCCCGCTCAACATCCCTTGGTCACAGATCAGCGTGATGTGGCTTGGCGTGGTGCACTTCCTGGCCTGCCTGTCACCGCAGCTGGGCTCAGTGGTCTACCATCTCTTCATGAACCATGAGGGTGGCGAGCCCATCTACAAAACCCTGCTCACGCTAGATATGTGTGGAATCTGCATGATCAACACGCTAGGTCAGCATCTCTAACTGATGTCAGATCAATCCAAGCGCTCCATCACATGATCTCTCAGTACATCTTTTCGATTCTGTTCTGTTTTCCTTTGTTGATTCAAGGTTTTTTTTTCTCTGGACACCCCACATTTGATATTTTTGTATAGGTTGTTCATACCTAATGAGGTCACCTGATAAAGTGACGTGTCATCACATAATTTTAGCGGTGCACATTAAAACAGGCTATATTGCATTAGAGATCTTTTATTTTTTTTAAATTCACAAATATCTAACCTTTCATTGAACTAAACCAATTGAAAATGGGGGAAAATCTCATTATGAAATAAATGTTTTTCTCAAATACACGTTGGACACAGTTATTGGCACCCCTAGAAATTCTTATGAGTAAAATATCTGTGAACTCATCCAAAAACAATCCCCAGCATATTCTGTTGTCAGACACGACTGGAACTTCAAATGGGACTGGCTTCTATGGTCAGATGTTACAAAAAAATTAGCTTTTTAGCAACAAACACTCGAGATGGGTTTGGTGCACACAGGGATAAAAAGTACCCCATGTGCACAATGAAATATACTGCTGTATTTTTAATGTTGTGGGCCTATATTTCCGCTAGAGGTCCTGGACATCTTGTTTAAATACATGGCATCTTTGATTCAAATCAAATACCAGCAGATAAATCAAAAAGTGACTGACTCCGTTAGAAATCTTATAATGAGCCATGTTTGGATCTTCCAACCGGACAATAATCCAAAAACAACACAAAAATGGGTCACTGGGCACAAAACCAAGCTTCTACTATGGCCATTCCAGTTCCCTGACCTGAACCATATAGAAAATGAGTGTGGTGAACTGAAGAGGAGAAATGCCATCATGGAGCTGGGAATCTGAAGGGTCTGGAGAGATTCTGGATGAAGGAATTGTCTCTGATCTCTTGTCAGGTGCTCTCTAACCTCACCAGGCATTATAGGATGTTATTATGCCAAATGGAGGTTTCAAAAAGCATTGAATAAAAGGGTGCCGTTAATTGTGTCCAATGTGTATTAGAGAAAAACATTTATGTCATAATGATATTTCCCCCGATTTTTAATTCTTATTCTCCAATGAAAGGTTAGATTTATGTGATTTTTAAAAAAATAAAAGATCAAAATGATTAACAATGCAGATTTATTTACATTTATATACAGCCTTCTTTGATCATATTTACCAAGGGTGCCAATAATTCTGACCACGACTGTATGTAGTCATCGTTCAGGCTGTTGCAACATTTTGCCAAAGGAGAAGTGTTGTACAAGAAAATAGTGTTGTAACAAAGGAAATAAAGAAGCAAAGAGAAAACAAGAGATATGGACAGTCTTATCTGACAGTCTTCTCTGTTCACATGTAAAGCAGCAGTGACAAGGCTGTTTCACAGCACTTCCATTGTCTCTTGGTTTGTTTGATAAAGATCTCATTTGTAATGTTAAAGTGCTTCTTCTTAGTTTTTATAATTATCCACCATTTATTTGGAAAACAAAGGAACATTTTGTAGAATGTCAAAAAAGGACATTTTGACTAATTTGATTTATTGTAAAAGTGAATTATGCTTGATGAGACAAGTGGTTTTGAGGATAGTGTTAATTACATTAGGAAAATTTAATTGTTGTGGTAATGTTCTAATATTCTAGGATTTATACTTTCTCAGTGCAAAAGATGTATTCTTGTAAATATGTTAATAATGTTAATTGATAGAATATAAAAATTAAACAGTAAAAACATATATTTGGTTAACTCAAAGTTACCTGACAGTATACATCAAAAATTATAATAAATTTAACAGCACATTATATAATTTTGCTTTAGTTTTTTTTTTGAAGTACACAATATAATATAATTTATCATTAAAGAAAATGAACATATGTTTGCAGTAACATGGCTATTACAATTGTAGCTTACAGTTTACTGTGAAAAAAGTAAAGGACATTCCCAGAAGTTTGTGCATGGACATCCCCTCTGAATATATTGTATTTTTTATTTTATTTTTTATTTACATAGTTTCTTAATATTTTTGTTATCAATTTTGTACATGAGTTTTTTTTATTAGTTTAGTGTGTGTATGGCACAAACTGTGCACCGTCTATAAATACTGACATAATTTATGTGGCCTTCTGTTCTTATCTCTTTTTTTTTGCAGATTATGGTTGTTCAAGTAGGCTGAAACATTATATCAGAAAATAAAATATACGGTTATGATCCGTAATATATATTGGCACCCAAATGTCATCATGAAACATTGCTATCAACCACAGCTGCCTTTATATATATATATATATATATATGTAT